AAAGAAAATTTTCCTCTTGTATGATCTTCTTTCTTCTTGTTCCATTGGGACTTCTTGCTGTAAAATATTCAGCAGTTCTTTTCCACTCTCCTCATCGCTGGCATATAGATGTAGTCCTTGATGATAAACGTACAGTTTTCCTGAAGGTAGCCACCGGTATTTTTGATGCATGTCTTGTAGTTGTTTAGTTACTGTTTTATGTTTTCGTCTTATCTCCAAGCGTCTCTGGGGACATCTGGAAATATTGCTATTTTTTCTCCTTCAAACATGAACGTTTCTGCTTGTTTCACTTCCATGAGAATGTGTTTCCTCACTCTTACATCTGGGATCATTGCTAAAATGTCCCTGGGGACCATTCTCTTTGCATTTATTTTAGGTCCTAGTCGTGCTGCATAAGTTATAATTGGGTATATGCCTTCCTCTAGTTGTAAAGCTTTGGCTATAAAGGAGGCTATAAACGTGATTAGGTCTCCATTTTTCTCTGTTTCTTCTTGGAAACCACGAAATTTTAAATTTGAGGCTTTCTGTTCTGTTTCTACAGAGATTAGTCTATCATTATGGCTACTAACATGATCATATAACAGTTTGATATTTGCCTGGTTTTCTGTGCTTTTCTCCAGCGCTGTATCTGCTTTCGTGATTGCTTGTGTTACAGATAGTTGTACTTCTTCTACTCTGGTCGTTAGCTTGGAGATTTGTTCAGTCAAGCTGGCTTCCACTGATTTTAAATAGTCCAGTACCAGCGTGTCTGTTGTTTGCTGTGCCTGTTTCTCCGGTGCCTTAGCTGTCGTCGCCATTTTAGGTTCTTTCTGGAACGGCAGGCCACGGTGAGTTTCTGTTTCAAAATGTTCTTTAATCGTTCATGTGTTGCCAGAAATTGCTTTATTCTTCGGCGGATCTGTTTTGCCCATACCAAGGACGTTTTGTAGTAGCGTGCGGGTGAATTAACTTTTTTAAAGCTGAAGGGGGATTGGCGAGAGCAGGAGCAACAGAGTTATGCGACCGCCATCTTTGGTAGCTTCGCCACGCCCCCCAAATTAAAAATTCTTTCATTTATGTTTTTTTTTCTTTGACTTTCACATTGAGATTTGTTTTATACAAGAGTTTTCTTCTCTGCCCTTGTTTTGTTTTATGTGTAATCAATCATTTCATGTCTTGACTTCTAGACTGCTCATTTAAAGAAAACAAAACACAGTCAAGCACTGGAAACTTCCTGCTTGGCTTGATTTACCATTGACTGGGCTCTGGGGAAACGTACCCCTGCTAGAGCGGCAGCAGCAAGTGTGTGGGGGGAATAGGCAAGAACCAGGTCCACACACTGATTTTTGCCCCCCTTGCTGCCGCCCCTCCCATTTTATCAATTTCTTCTATCACAGGTGTGCCAAAGCACGGCACAGCAGCCGTTGCCCACTCTCCTGTGGCTCAGACTCTGCCTTTCCTGTCACTGTCCTTTTCTTAGCCCAGCTTTGCTGTAAGGCTCTGGTACAGCTGAGCTGCGAAAATGTCCTTTAAAAGGTTGAGAGGGCGGGCAGTGGTGCATGGCAGCAATCTGCCCCATGCCATTTCCTCCTTTCATATTGGCTGCAGGTACAAAATCCAAACAGACGCTCTACCTGCAGCCACCCCATAGTTCCCCTTTGAACCAGAGCATAGGAGGATTTTTGAAAAGCGAGTTCACAGAGGGAACCCCCGGAAGTCCATGAATCGTGTTTAGAATGAACACAACATCATGCAGACGTTCTTGCAAAAATGCAAGGGCTTCCTGCTCACCAGGCAGGGGGAAATCCCCTTGTGGAAACAGCCAAGGACACAACCTGAACCTAAAGGGGAGGGCTGATGGCCGCTCACCAGGACGTCAGCCATACAATCGTCTCTGTTTAAGGTGAAGACTGTCCTATCTGGCTGTCAAAGTTTTATGACATGGGAATTTCCATGGTACACTTTGAATGCAGTAAGTTTGCTAACAAATGTCCTAAAGACACTGTAAAAGAATAAGTAAAGCAAGCTGGTTTTTTTTCCAGTGGAGTAGACTTTATTGCTTAGAAAACAATAACACCATGAAGTCATTGTTAAGTGCCAGATCTCTACCCCCGTGAAACCTTTGTCTTTTAATATAGGCACTGCCTTCGATATGAAGCTCATGATCAGCTATCACACAAGTATGTACTGATGTGAAGATGACTGTTTTCATGGAAGGGGCAGTACAATGCCGCTGAGATGTAAGAATTATACAGGTTGATGGCCTCACAGCACTGGCCGAAGACCTCAACACTGACGTAATTCTGATAATGATGGGCAGGGATCCATGACCTTGTGCCTGCTGAGGTATTAAACATGTATTTAGGCTGTACTACTTCAGGCAATGGAAGGGGGTTCAATGATTCTATGTTCCTCCAGATTAAAAAAAAATTAATCAGCTACACTCTTCAGCAGTATATACATATCCACACAAAGTAGAAACCCCCACAAAAGCACCCTTGTATGTCCCAAAAATAATCAAAGAAATATGCTTTTTGGCTCACAAGGGCATTTTGAAGGGTGTTCTATTTACTTTTTAAATTGGAACTGTGCTTTTTTGCAACATAAAAGAAACCAGAAGCCACTTCAAAACTAGCTTTTTGAGCAATGAAAAAGAATTAAAAATAAGTATTTAATTTTGGCATCTGGGCAGCTAGATTTGAAGGGGCTTCTTTGTTTTTAGGTTGCACAAGAGTACAGTTGCTTCTGTTGGGCTTACATGGCAAAGTGACAAAAACAAATAATATCCTTTCCAGAAGCCATTTTCATATCTATGGAATAAAAAAAATTATTGTGCAAAATCCATCATCAGCATCCAAAAACTACTTCTTTCAGGCCAGAAGACAACCTTGCACAGAAAAACCAGACAATAACAAAAGAATGGAATTGAAGAAACCTGCTCATTCTTAGCGTCCAAGGCTCAACTGGGACGATGGCCCTCAGATTCCATCCCACCAACAAAGATGATCCTCAACAGCCCAATCCAGGTTGAATGGGCAGAGCTAGGTGAGGCAAGAGCCTCTGAGACCAGAATGTTAAACTAGCACCAAAAGGGAATGGGAGCCCCTGTTGCCTAGCAGTTGCTCTGCCTCCAGTGACGCCCAGTGGTAAAGGAAACTGGACCAGTTGCCATGGTAATGGGGTTTTGGAGGGAAGCCTGGAGATGTTCAGCTGTCTCATGGGAACTGAGACTTGTAAGTCTTGCTTGAAGCTATCAGCTTGAGTAGGAAAGGGCCACGGGGACTTCCCTCACTGACTCTTGAGGCATGCAGAAAGAGAGAAAGGAGAATTTGGAGGGTGCTTGCTAACCCACTTCCCTCTGAGACTGAGGTTCGAAGGGACACCTGCAGGATGGGCCAACTCAGGAGGCTGTCCAGTGAATGTGGGGGTGTATGATGTGTGGTGGTCCAGACCTTATTTTGGGGTTCAGAGCTTTCTAACTCACTCTCTCTAGTGTTTCTGAATGACTACACGAATAAGTAACGAATAAGGAATGAATAAGGAAGTGCGAATAAGGAACCAACTTCAGCCTCCTGGCCAACTCAGCATTCCCAAGTAAATACACATCTTACATAGGCTACCTTCCTTATATCTATTTAAACTGCAACACAAAGGACAATAGGCTTTAGAAGTCCTTGCTCAAGATATTAAATGAAGCCATCCTGCCTGGTTGTCTTTGGTGAGCCAAAAATAAAATTTAACTGTAAATGTCTAATATAACAAAGTATCGGGTGTATAAACTTGTAAAAATATTTGTGCCCTCTTTTTGTGAACTATTTTGACGGATGAGTAATTAATGGGGGCTGTACACAGGCAACAGAAAAGACAGAAGAGAAGCAATACTAGTTCAAGTAAACCATGTTAATAGGAGACACTATGTCCAAATGTGAAATCTGTCCAGAGAGGCATTACATGTGCAAGTCATCAACACTGCAAGAATTCAGCAATTCCTACTCTTTAATTTGCAAGGATTACATTTGCAAGAGGAAATGAGGTTGGGATCAGGCATGCACAGGCCTTGATTCCCCAGATATACTACCTCCCAGTGCCCCAGAATGAAAGCTGTGGGAGAGAAAGCCGTTTCACACATTACAGGAAGAGTCTGTGGCCAGACGTTACGTTTTCAAACAGTTCTGGGACTCACCATTACAATTCAAATTGGTTGCCATACCAAACCATGTTTTGCAATAACCATAGGTTAGAACCCAAGCTTTGGTTTGAACTTGCAAACTTACAAGCAAATCATGAATCAGAGTTGTTTGTGTGCTTTCACTTTCTGAAGGCATTTTGATCTTTAGGCACAGGGGCTTCCAGAGGCAGAACTGTGGCCATAACAATGTAGACATCACACAAAACCACAGTTAGTACAAAACCGTGGTTTGCAAATCCACTTCACATCACGGTTTGTCAATTCAGACATCATGCCTAGCCACAGATTAGCCATGCAATTTGGTGTGATTTCTGAAATTAACACAATACTTCAGAATTAAGCCCTGAATGAAAAGCTCTGCTGAAGTTCATCAAGTCCTGGTCTGTGCTTTCAATCCTAGCAAGAACAAGGATTCTCTCCTTCACCTCGTATTGCATTCAAGTGCTGCTTCTAAGTTAGGGCTGCCAAGTGGGGGTGGGTGGCGGGTAAACCCCCGCTTCGGAGGCCCGATTTCTGCCGCTGCGGAATCGGGCCCCAGGGGAACTCCGCCCCAGCGTATGTGTCACCTGGAAGTGACGCAGGCATGCTGGCATGCTGGGGGCGGGGCCACAGCCATACAAGGGAAAACCCTTCGGGTGACGCGCGGGTGCGCACACACAGTCAACGCCGGCCGGGAGGCCCCCGCTCCCAGCGAAGAATCACTTGGCAACCCTATTCTAAGTTTATGAAAGAGGCCAGGGCAGCCAGCAAGCTTTGGAAGAAACAAGAGAAGAACAGGAACAAGCAAAATGCCTTGGTAGAAAGATATTCCTTTGAAGGAAAAAATACTTACTTTGCTCTAGGTTGATGTACTAATCCTGGAAGCTCTTTATTAGGCTTAAGTCTTACATGTGAACTGGCACTTTTTTCCTGGAAAAGAAGGGACAGAAAAGAGTGTTAATGCTTCCTTTAAAAAGGTGCTTATTTGAAATCAGATGGTGACTGAGAATTATATAGAGTGTACAGACGTGAAATTTAAGAGAAGTCAAACGTTATACTGTGGTCTGTGAAGCAGACCACAGAAACATCAAGTTTAAGATGTTATGTTAGCCTCTTCTGTCTTTTCACAGTGATTTAAAAGTGTTACATTCCTCAGGCCCTCCAGAAATGCATATCTTATGTGCTTACATGGTCCCAGAGAGAGAATTTCTTTACTCTATAACTCACAAGGCAAATAGCTAGATAAGGAAAATGGCGCTTGAGAGCTGTAAAAAGTTCAGGATAGGTAACAGAAAAAAATTCATCAAAGAAGCTAATTTGGCCAGAAATGGTATATCCTTAAAATCAGCAGGACTGAATTTGGCACACAGCTAATAAAGGGAAGGGGGAACTGGGTCAGGAGGGGGGAAGGACCCCCCCCCATCATACAGTTATAAATGCTATAGGGCACTCAGTTTGGAAACCTCTCAGAATACCGATCAAATAAAATTCAGGCGAATAACTGATTTAGGGTACACGAGAAATCGCGACTTTTCCCACACCTCAGTGTTGCTGCTAATTCATGGCAAGTTGAATCCCCATCTGGTGCTCTGACTTTGTGGCACCCCTTCTGTAAAAGGACATTTATTTCAGGGAATTTTTTCTTGAATTCGGATCTGACCTTCCCCCCATGTGTTCCATACTTCCTTTGAAAAGTGCTTGTGCAGCTGTGCCGGCATGTATTTTGCCAACGATGGAACCTCCCTTTTTTTTGCACATGTGTATTAATGTTATAACATCATAACACTGGGGGGGGGGGGGAGGCTGGATGTGTCATGGGGAACAGTATGGTTGCCGCCATTTCAAAGGTTCCCTGCTCCTCCTAAGTCACCAGCTAAGAAAATGGCTGGCAATTGTTGAACTGGATGCATCAAATCATAACACTGTTATTCAATAATTATGAAGCATGCTAAATGTTCTGTTGTGTACTTTGTCAGCGACAGAACCTCCTTATTTGCACATGCAGTAATGTTATGACATCATAACACTGGGGGGGAGGGCTGGATGTATTGTGGGGAACAGCATAATTGCTGCCATTTCAAAGGTCCCCTGCTCTTCCTTAGTCGCCAACTAAGAAAATGGCCGGCGAAGATTCCCACAAATCCTAATGAAAATAGTATTCCATTCATGACTGCTGAACTGGATATATTAATTCATACCAATGTTATCCAAGAATTACGAAACACACTAAATTTGTCGTCATGTACTTCGTCAATGACAGAACCTCCTTTTTTGCACATATGCAGTAGTGTTATAACATCATAACACTGTAAAAAAAAGGGCTGGATGTATTGTGGGGAACAACATGGTTGCCACCACCATTTCAAAGGTCCCCTGTTCCTCCTTAGTTTTGTGCCTCCTTAGTTGCCAACTAAGAAAATGGCTGGAGATCGTAGAACTGGATATACCAATTAATAACAGTGTTATTCAATAATTATAAAACATGCTAAATGTGTCCTCAGGTACTTTGTCAGCAATGGAACCTCTTTTTTTGCACATGCAGTAATGTTATAAAATCATAACATTGTAAAAAAAAGAAAAGAAAATAGATCGGGAGCAATAGGGGAAGAAAGGGGGAGAATGAAGAAACAATACAAGCGCATGGTGTCAAAATCTCCCCTCCAAAAAAAGAAAGAAAGAAAGAAAAAGAACTTCACAAACGAGTACCTAGCTGCTCATTTTGTCCCAATTTTATAATGTTGTTTTAGTATAACAAAAAAAATTATGTTGTAATGCAATCAACATTATGCTTTAAAAAAAATAGTGGATTGCTCAGGGGACAACCTGGCGAGGGGGTGGGGGCAGTGAACACGCAACACTGACAGCACAAAAGGGCGGCGGGAAACAAAACTTGAAATTGGGAATTCCTCAATGGAAAACTGCAAGTTCAGATCCGTGGGGGGGGAATTGTGGGAAAAGTAGATTAGGAAAATGTGGGGTAACAGGGCACTAAATTCGGATCTACTCCTGGGGAGGCAAAAAGTTGTGCAGAAAGTTTTACAAACTTTGATTATTTAAGAATGCCGATGCAGAGGTTTGCACTTGTGCAGAAATGATGCTCCACAGCTATCAAGAGCAATCTTACTTTTTTCATTATCTTTTACAGTCAGACACCTGGCTTTTCAGCTGCCTTTCACACAAGCAGTGACAAAGAGGCAGAAAGCATATATCACCTCCTAATGTTCCAGTACAACTATGTCTGAACCCTCTTCAGTGGTAAATGTTGATTCACGCATTACAGAATACAACTCTGCAGGCTGGAATCTCCACCTTGTGCAACAGTCAGGAGCATGAATTCTCCTCATTTCCTGTGTGCTGGGTGCCCAATTCAGATTATGTGTACGAACACATGGTTTTCTGCACTGTGCCAAACCATGCTCCCCCGCAGGACAGCTTCAGGTTGGGAAATTGGTAGAGGGGGAGGCAGAAGATCTTTTGTGAAGCAGCCCCAATCAAAACTGATGTGTTATTATAAAAAAACCCAAAAAAACTGATGTTTATGTGTTTATTTATACCCCTGCCTTTCTCCACAACGGGGACACAAAATAGCTTACATCATTCTCCCTTCCCCCATTTTCTCTCAACAACCATGGCGTGAGATAGGTTAGGCTGAGAGAGTACGACTGATCCAAGGTCACCCAGCGAGCTTCCATGGCCGACAGGGGACTCAAACCCAGCTCTCCCAAGATCCTAGTCAGACACTCCAACCACAATGCCACACTGGCTCTCAGGCTCCCTGTAACAGGGACTTGAGTAGAACCTACAACATATTTGACCATAATCCTGCTCTGGGACCCCAGACACAATCTGGGTACTTTGTAATGTGTGAATCAGTTTCAAGCATACTACTTTGTTCTGCAAGTTGGAGTTGATAGGATGTAGCATATTTACTCAGGACGAAGGCAACTCTTTATGTAAGATGTCCCCCCACATACACAAAGAGTTATGCACCCAACATTTTTTTAATTGGACATAACTGTCACTTGTATGCAAATGTAAGGTGACCCTCTCTTTTTTGAGGGCACACCTGGAAAAAACACACCATAGTCTGGAATAAATACTGTAAGTCTCTTTTAAGAAATATACATTCTTGCATACTGAAAACTTGCCTATCAAGGAGATATGCTAGGCCGAGCTGTAAGTATCAAATCATGTGAGCCCCCACTGAAGCCATCCAGTCCTCATATAGATTTACTACCTCAATTAGAAACAGACCATGTTTTCATCATTCGGACCTCTTTAAAAAAGCCGACTGCTCCCCCCCCCAAACTTAATGAAGGTAACTGTACGAGCTGATTTCTGCAGTGATTATTATATACTTTCCTGTTTGTGCCTGATACCTTTCTAGGAATGCAAAGCCAACACTTGAAAATAAGGCGGCGGGGGGGATTCACACAAGCAATAGTATGGGGCTGATTTTAGTTCAAAGCTATCAGTCCTGCCACCCTTTTCCACCCATTCTTCAGTAGTACAAAACCAAGGGGAAAAAAAAAAAAAAAAAAAAGAGTACAACCCATCTGCCAAGTTTTCTTGATTCCCCCAGGGCAATTTATAATCTTGCTTTGTCATAGTTATTTCTGGATATATTTTTGTCTTGCTTGTATGCACGATAAACAGATACAGCTGTCAAACAAGGGTAGGGGGAGAAGAGGAGAAAGAGCTAATAAGACTAGAAAGGGGAGGCTATACTGGAATTGCTCAAAGTCAGTGGTGAGGCCAAGATATGGGGGGAAAGTGTAACCCCCCAAAAAAGAATCTTATGATAACTCAACGACTAATAGATGTGTGTGTGTGTGTGTAAGTGCAGTCTAGTCACTTCTGTCTTCTGACAACCCTATGAATTGATGTCCTTCAAAATGCCTTATCGTTAACAGCCTTGTTCAAGTCTTGCAGACTGAGCGCCAAGGCTTCCCTCAATCCATCTCATATTGGGTCTTCCTCTTTTCCTGCTGTCTTTAATTTTTCCTAGCAAAATATATTTAACACACCACAAGCTCTCATGGTCTAGTGTCAAACTCGGAACCTCGTTTGCCATGAGTTTTGTATGTTCCATCTCACTGCCTGTAACCACATTGTTTAGAATCCAGATTTGGAGGGGGGGGCAAATGGTGAGTGTGTGTGTGTGGGGGGGAAAACTGCTTTGCTTAGCTGCTTTGCAACTGTTTTCTTAAGAGGCCTCCCAAAGCGGGAGCTATGTGAAAGGACTTTGGATGCCTGTCTCTGCTAGCCAACCTGTCGTAGATAATGCAACTGTAGGTTTTCAGGTAGGGGAGGAAAGCTAATGGAGCATGCTATGTTTAGGCGGGCTGAATAGATGGATTGATTGGATGGGTCACTGGGGGGGGGGCTTGTTTGAATCATGTATAATTACAGAACTGGCACCAACCGAGTCAGTTCTGACACAAGATGGTCTTAGCTTGCTTGATACATCCTCACCTCTCAATAAACAAATCACTGCCAAGAGAGTGTTGCTGGGAGTAAGTTTGTTCAAGAGTCTGACATCTAGAGCCCACTTCAGTTGCATCATGACGCATATCTCCATAAAACACACACACACAAACACACCCCGCATCTATATATAATGCAAGAAACACAGACAGATGTGGGTATGGAGCAAAAACCTGAGACAGACTATACCCTTTTAACCGTATGTTTACCATGTTTTTATTTATTTTTATGTCTCTATACATTTTTATTTGAGTATATATTTTATCATGTATCTATTTTTATTTTATTTATTTAAAACATTCATTAGCCACGTTTCTTCCTTATGAAACTCAAGGCTGCTTACAATATAGATAAAATACATAATATAGAATACATAAAATACGGGGCCCCCCCAATTTAAAGTTACAATTTAGGACTTCTAAAAACTCAAGAGACAGTCCTCA